ACATCCCACAAATTAGCCATCATGATTTTGGGTGGAAATTAGCAACCTCATCCCCTTATAATTCGAAATGTAGAGATCTAGACCATATTAAATGCATTAAGGGTAAGGATTAAAGGGTTTTGGTGAAGGATGAAGAGGCCAATAAAAGCTGGAGAGTTTATTTTAAAAAATTATTAAATGACCAACATAAAGGGAACATAGAGGTATTAGGAACCGTTGGCATAAATAAGGGCAAAGGTCATAGATACATTCGTAAGATTAGGACATCGGAAGTGAAAGAAGCTTTAAAAAGAATGAAGATAGGAAAGGCTTTAAGACTAGATAGTATCCCGATAGAGGTCTGAAAGTGCATGGGGAGATTGGCATTGACTGAATGATCACGTTGTTCAATAAGGTGGTGAGAACAAAGAAACAGCCAGACGAATAGAGGAAAAGTATTAAAGTACTATAGTACGTATTTACAAGTATAAAAGACACATACAGAATGGCGCGAACTATCGAGGGATCAAACTTACGAGCTATACTATGAAGCTCTAGGAGAGAGTGATTAAGCAACAAGCAAGACATAAAACAAGTGTATCAGAAAACCAATTTGGTTTTATGCTAAGGAGGTCAACAACCAAAGCTAATTTCCTACTTAAGCAATTGATTGAGAATTTTAAGGAGAAGGGAAAGGACTTCCACATGTCTTTATTAATCTAGAGAAAAATTATGATAAAATACTTTGAGGTTTGATTAGGTGGGTGTTGGAAAAGAAAGGAGTCTCCAGACACTACATTGACTTGGTGAGAGTCTGAGAGATGTACGATGGGGCTCGCCAACTAGTGTACAAACAACTAGTGGAGAGACCAGTGAGTTTTCAATGGCAATAGGTCTATAGGCATTGAGCCCATACTTCTTGTCTTAGTTATGAACGACTTAACTAGGCACCTACAAGATAAGGCACCATGGTGCATGTTGTTCGTAGATGACATGGCTTTGATAGATGCAACCCGAAACAACGTCAAGAAAAAGTGAGAATTTGGAGGGATACTCTAGAATCTAAAGGTTTTAATATTAATCGGACTAGGACAGAGTATATGAAATGCAAGTTTAGTGATAATAGAAGTAAAGACCAGAACGTAATTAAGATTGACAACAAGGAAATACCAAAAAGAACGCACTTTCAATATCTTGGATCAATAATCCAAGAAAATGGAGAGATAGAGGAAGATGTGCAACCAAAATTTTATGTGATCGCCGCGTACCAATGAAGCTGAAAGGCAATTCTATAGGAAAGTTGTGAGACCAAGCTTGCTCTATGAGGCAGAATGTTAAGCAATTAAAAAAAAATATACCCATAGAATGAGTGTAGCAGAGATGAGGATGTTGAGATGGATGTGTGGCCCGACAAGGGATAAAATTCGAAATAAATACATTGAGAAAAATTTAAGTGTGGTACCAATAGGTGATAAGATGAGAGAGAGTAAACTAAGGTAGGCTAGCCACGTGTGGCGTAGACCCAATACATCACCTGTTAGGAGGTGCGAGTTAGTTCAAGTGGAAGCCCAAAAAAGGCAAAGGGACACGGTTGGAAGTAGTGAGAAAAAATATGGGAACTTATAGCCTCAATGAGGGTATGGCCCTTAATAGAATAGAATGGCGGACCACGATTTGTGTAGCCGACCCCATTAGTTGGGAAAGGACTTTGACAATGATGACCCCTTTACAATTTAACCCAAGTTCAACTTCTATTTAAAATTAAATTATAAACACTTTTAGTATTACCTAGATCTTCCAAAATCTATAAGAAATCAAAGATAATTATTTTTATTTTTAACTTTAATATAAAATCAAATCTTTTTAATTTTAAAAGATTCCCTAACTAACTAAAACTTTTAACTAAAAGAGGTACATAAAATAAATAAGTGGGGCATACCACCCAAGGGACATCATATGGGCCCCACAAGGCCACACGTCCAACTCATGGTTCACAGACACGTGGGGGTTGGATCCTAGGTCCGCACATATGCCCTTCATAATTCTAAAAATTTTGAAACCACCCTTTTATTGAATTTATAACAGAAATAAATTTTTAAAATCCTCAAAAAGGTTGTAAAAAAGACAAAAATATTTGTAATACCAAAAAATAAAATATTTAGAAGTTTACCGACCAATAAGTCAAAATTAACGACAATAAGGGCACTCCACTTGACTCAAGAACCATGATCCACTACTGTTTTCTCATCCAACCCAACAAAGACTCATGACCCACAGGAAAATGAGTCCGGCCTATGAACAGAAGAGATAAGGGTCCAGGCAAGTTAGGTTCAAAACGAGACATAACCGCCGGCCAATGAATAGAAAATGAGGATCCAGGAAAGTTAGGTTCATAATGAGACGCAACCGCTGGCCTATGAACAGAAGATGAGGATCTAGACAAGTTAGGTTCAAAGTGAAACCTAGCCATCGGCCTATGAGCAGAAGATGATGATCCAAGAAAGTTCGGTTCATAATGAGACCCAATCGCTTAACACTCGGTCCAAGAACAAGAACCAATAACCTGCCCTATAAGCCTTCCAACTTGAAACTTGAACTCAAACATCGAAACCTGCGAAGGCGAGTGGAGTAGACAACGAGTGGAGTGCATAAACACGGAACGAGCCAACAAACTATGAACAGAAGATAAGGATCCAGACAAGTTAGGTTCTATAACCACACATATGAGACCACACAGTTCTTTTGACCTACAAACATCATTCCTAGGCATCTCAATCTCAACAAAGGATGACCCACTGTAAATCCTTCTCAATATTGTCACATATCCAAGAGTACGGGTTTTAGACATATCTATGGTTATAAACCACACAACCCATAGTTAGTCAACATACACTCCCATTGAAGTGCATATTTTATTATAAAACATTATTTTTACAAGCTCTCTAAGCCTTTAAATGCCACAAAACCCCCCTTGTCTGTATTATGAATGTATATGAGGAAAGATGAGATCACAAGACCGCAATTACTAAAGATCAGGGATTGGGTCTGGGAAGATCAGAGGACTAGGATGAGTATGATGAACAAAAAGACTCCAGATTAGGGGACTTGGAGATTATCCAGGCTCGCTCTTATGTTGGTTGTATACTTCAAGCAATGAGTCATATGCTGTAAGCGACGAGATACAAGGACTTTATTAGGAATATCACATGCTTTTTGAGCAAATAGAGCAAAAGAGATAAAGGAAATTAAAGGGTGAAATAGCATACCAGCAAGGGCAAAGGGAAAGGTACTCGAGAACTTAAAAACCCCATAATAGGAAAAAGTATGATAAAAGTAGATCCACTCCTGAGAAACAAAAAGAAGCAGGCATCTGCTTGTACGCCATTAACCCCAACAGATAAATGAAGATATTGTCATGGAATATTAGTATATGAAGGATGCCAGAAAGAAGAGAATGGTAGGAGCCTTTAACTAATACAGGAAACCTGATATTCTGATTGTGTTGAAGATTAAATTGGGAGAATCCAACTTGTCCACAGTCATATGTCCAAAAGGGGATGCAATCCAGCCAGGTGGGCTGCCCTCCCATCTCAGGGACCTTCAGGAGGGTATATGGGTGGTGTGCAATCCTTTGACACTCAGGAAGTCTAACATAAATATGGGGGCCTGATCCCTCTCTGTTACTTACAAAGGTATTGTAAGTGACTGTGGATATATACCTACAGCAATATATGGGCCAAATATCCAACAGACAGAGAGGCCTTCTAGGAGGAAATGGATCGCATGGTGCAAAATACAAATGACCTTCATGCTTGATGGGGTAGCAATATATCCAATTGCACAATCAGAAAGATCACAAGGAGAAAGAGAACAGTAAGCATGGAGGGTTTTGAGGAATTGTCAACAGGCACAAGCCAGTGGAGATCCCTTTAATAGGGGTCAATTTACATGGTCCAAATATAACAAATCAAATCCACTACTCATGAACCTAAACCGCTTTCTTATCACCATATTAGGAATCGAAATTCCCTACAAATGGCCTTCAACCCACCTACAAACCTTTCCATATCATCTTCATTGCCATGCATATCAAGTTCACTACCAACCCCGTCCCCCATCCCAAGAAAAATTTCCACTATCCCAGTTCTAACTCCCATAGCCACTATCTCATAATAGATAAAAGCAGAGTCCAAGCATAGTGTCCCTTACAAATTCCATCACAATGGGACTGATCGTATGCTAACAGGAATACGAAAAACTTCAATGCTCACTCATCGACAAGATTGACAAACACTACCCTCCATCTCCACATGCTCAAGCATCACCATAATAGACCCCATATTTTCTAATCTCATGTATCAGCTCAATGGCCATTCCCTAATTTAGGAGCTATTATCTACACATTTCTAAATTAATTGCAAAACAAAATCTCTTCAAAAAAAATATGTGCAATAAATTCCCTAGCTTTGATACCATGTAACAAACCTAAAGCTCAAAATTATTATTAGACATTTGGCTTCAAAGAAGAGTGTGTAGTGAAGTAGGATTAACGTAAAACAGCATTAATGTAATTACAAAAACATAAAACAAAGGCATTATATGCAACTAAAGAACAATAGAACCTGAAGGACATGAATCAAAAGAACTAAGGTTTCTCTCCAGTAAAATCTACGACTAGTGAATTCAAGAAGCATCAGTACAATATCAGATGCCAAGGAAAGCAGTAAATTTTCAAACGAACCAAGTATAGCAATACGAAAAGTGCTATTTCTAAATTTGATCCCAACATTTTCTAACTTTTAACCTTAAATCACGTAGACAATGAACCAAAGTAATAAAATTAATGAGGAAAAATAGCAAATCTTAAAAAAAAAAAAAAGAAATTGATACAACCACCATACAAAGGAGAGAACTGCTTCATAAACAGAACCTATACAAATATCTCAAGCATCATTACGACAAAAATTAAGAAAGATACATAAATTGCTCCAAAACAAGAAAGTAACATAGGTTAAATAAACCTTTGAATTCGGCTGCCTTCTCAGGGAGAAGATAATCCCACGTCCTTTCAAGTGCTTTTCTGATCTTCAAATTCGTTTCACCATCAAGATTTGCAGTCTGTGAGGTACCAAAGTAATGTATAAGAATATGACAGCAATTTTTCACGATTCTAAAATTATAGAACTTGCCCCTAAATCCTTAAGTCCATTGTTCAAAGAAGGACCTCTATATAGCAAACACCATCAGGATTCGAACTAGCAAGAAACAAAAGATCAGCAGGAAAAAATCCATCCTGCTTAACCTGCAAAAGCAAGCAAACACAATGGTAAAAGGTAGGAACATGGCATGAGAGTAAATTAATTAAAAAATATATATAACCACAACTTTAGAAATGCTGCGACTAGAATTGTGAGAAAGTTATATCTAAGCATTCATGATTAATGCCATTGAAAAACACACTTTCCAGAATTAGTGCAAAGTTACTATCCGAATGATTGCAGGATTCATGTCCTTCTTTCTGTCATAACAAGAAAATTCTGAACCCAAAAACATACAAAACATCATACTAGTTACACCTCATACTGACTCATAAACCCATAATACAATGCCTCCCCAATGCAGTATGACACTATCAATCCATTAATGAGTGCATATATTTTTCCTTCGCATATACACAGACACGTGCACTCACACACACAGTAAGCTTTTATTGAATCAGATGTCAGTTATATCGAGTTGCTTGGAAACACACACACACACACACAGTCTTTTTTTTTTAATTAGATGTCAATTATATCTAGTTAGTCTAAGAAAGGTGAGGACCTTAAACTTTCCCTTAACCCGTCCCACGCCCGGGTAAAAGAGCTAGGTTGTGTTAGGTAGGCAGACAATGTAAAACTTTGCTAAAATATATCATGTATCCTGAACCCTACAGTATCTTCTTATACTAGGGCGTTCCCAGAAGCGATGTGTTATACTGGAACCCGGGTACAGTAAGAAGTGAAGAATGATGAACCAGGATTCATGTAGTCAACTCCAATTAGTTAGGAAAAGGCTTTGTCGATGATGATGATGATGATGATGATGATGATGATGTCAGTTATGTCTAGTTGCTTGGAACAAACAAGCATAGACATTCTCGACAGGAGGAATAGGGAAATGATGGAGTGAGTTATTGGGCAAGGGGACCTAGCCTTATGGCAGATGTAGGACCTAGAGGGCTTGGCTCCTCCACGAGAGTGACATGTAAGGTGAGCATAGAAAGAAAGGGTTCAGATATGATTGAGAATTCCAATTCGGTTAAGATTTAGGAGGTCAAAAGGTTCTTGGTTTCCTTTACAATTGGGACAACAGCATTCCGCAAGTCACGAGGATGACGGGAGGCATAAAAGAGGTAGGACTTAGGGTAGGTCTGGAGGGAACAATTTAGTCTGATTACACCAATAATTACGGTTTGATTTAAGGTAAGGTAGGAACGGTTTGCTGAAATTTGGCAGGTCCAGCAAGATAGGACTATAAGATGAATTCCAGGGCTGAATTTGGGCAAATATAGGATTTAAACTTAAGTTTTAAGGCCACGGAGGGTAGGTATATAGTTAAAGTAGCTATTAAATTCATTTATCTAGATTTTGTAGAGTTTTAGCAAGGATTTGTAATCGTTTAAACGGGTGACAAATTTTTGTTGAGAGGAATCATTCTTGGGGATGTGCCACATAAAAAAGTGATATTCCAAACCAGCTGCCTGTGACATGCCCAACCCAATTGAGGAAAGTGTAGTAGTGAAAGACTTGACAGAGAACCTACCCCATGGAACGAGTGTCCATATAAGACTAGTGTTCCTTGCCTAGGAATGAAGATGGATGGTATCCATATCAGCACGGCTAAGAAAGAACAAATATTTTCTGCTTCATGGTCCAGTGAGATTCCTATGAAAACTTAAGCCCCAAGAATTCTTGTTGTGAAAAATGAGATTTTAATAGAGAGAGAGAGAGAGAGAGAGAGGAGACATTGGCTGCAAGTCACTCAACACCTTTTCAGATTGGCGAGATGATCTATTCATTTCACTTTACATATAACAACTTTAAGGTATGATATTAGAAAATACCATCTGCAGATATAATATATTACATATACACTTCTTCAAAATTATATAATTACATAATGGCCCCCACACTGCTCCTGCACATCGAAATCACAATTCTGCCCATTATTGTTCGGTCACATCACTTCCTGACAGACCCCCTCAAGTTGTATACCGGTTTAACCCATGGCCAGTTTGGCCTTAAGAAACCAATGCATGATTTTCATCAATGCCTTGGAAAAGATCTCAACAATCCAACTTTCAGTCCCAACAAGCATAGCTTCAACATTTTGCTCCTCTAATTTTTCTCAAATGGAATGCTAATCTGTATATGTGTTGTTTTTCCATGATGCAGTCGATTCAATAATGTGTATCACAGGTTGGCCGTCACAGTATCGTAATAACCACCAAATGTTTTGACCAAATCAATTGAAAGGTGACAAATCCCTGCAATTTCCCATGTAACAGTAGTCATCAATCTGTATTCTAGTTTAGTTCTTGAGCATGTGACAGTCATTTGTTTCTACTCCTCCAAAAGAAAAAATTCCTACCAAGAAGTACACAATATCCATAAACAAGGCCTCCTTTTATAAAGGTCTCCTGCTCAATCCACATCCATATAAGCTACCACAACCACGGGATCAATCTTTGAGAACATAGCTTGGGTGTACACCAATCCATCACTAACTGTAGATTTTATGTACCTTAATATTCATTTGACTGCATCCATATGTCCCAGTCCAAGTACATGCATGTACTGTGACACTTGATTTACGGCAAAGACCATACGTAGCCTTTAGAACATGAGGTACTGTAAAGCTCCAACAATGTTGTGATATTGTCTTTGATCGTTATATTGATCACCCTATTCTTCTTTTACTTTTTTGATCAATGATGTTAGAACTAGATCATCAAACTGTCGCTACAAACTGGGAACTGCCAAACCAATACCCATTCCAATTCCACCAGGTTCCTACACCGACTGGTCCAGTGAACCAGTCATAGAACGGTGGATCAATAGGTCCAATGTCTAGACCGACCAGTCCACTAATACTAAATCGGCGAGTCCTGTAAAAGCAAGAAAATGTTCACTTAGAATCGTTATATCTTATGTTTTACAAAACTAAAATAAGGGTTTAGAAGGGCGTCCTTGTACTTTTATGTAGGGCCATTTCAGGAATTCATAAGGTTGAGGATTTCATGGTGTATAAGACAGAATTTAAGTGAGAGGGGCTCTCTTCCTTTCCCCACACCCCCCGCCCCCCTGGGCTCTCTATCGGTCCCAAACAAAACTTTAACGAGCTTTGCGGTCAGATCCAAAGATAGATTTCCAGCTACTTCTGGATACAAATCCAGCCACAAGACAAATCACTCAACACACAACGAAATTGTGGATTTGAAAATGCAAAAAAAAAAAACAGATGGTTTTTCGCAATTTCTGCCTTTTTGGGTATAGAAAATTATAATTTTACTAGTCTTTGTTAGCACATATTTTCCATTTTCAGTTTTTAATTTGGAATCCTTTGAAAAGCTTTTACAACTTGTAAAAGCCTCTTCTTCTTTTTTGAGTGAAGTTAACAATTGTATTACTGGAAGAGCATCAGGAAACAAGAGTGGGACCCAAGAGCACCCACAAGCAGGGTCTCTTGGACAAAAAATAGATCACTACACAGTGACCCTATACAAAAAATTGGGGCTTATAGATTCGCCAATTACAAGCAATGTACACAAGAAAATCAAAATGCAATGTACCCACAGTGGTCCAAAGCAAGAAAGGAGATCGACCAGCAACTAAAGTTTGAACAATACAGCCACCCAAAAAGTCACGATTATGCGGGGGCATCTGCTTGGGCCCTAGCTCCATCCTTAACCAGAAGATCTGCGAACTCGTTCAACATCCTCTAGATATGCTTTTAGGAGACGACTATATCCCTGCGAGTGTAAGCAATCTCATCAAATTTAGAGAATAGGTACCACGAAGGTGGTGAATTCCCAGCAGCTCAGGATATGATATTTTGGGCATCCCCCTCGACAAACAATTGTGATCCCCAAGAAATGACGAATCTTTTAAGTCCCAAGAGTAGAGCCATGGATTCAACGTACTGAGAATCTGCATGGCCTAAATGCTCGAAATAGGTGGCCAGAACATTGCCGCAGTGGTCTCAGTAAACTCCTCCGGCTCCAGCGAGGCCAAGGTTCCCTAGCGAAGTTAAAGCTTGATGGTGCCTTCTGGTGGTGGCAACCAGTTGTTTAGTCTTGATACCCTATATGGTTGGAGCTTAAGGATGTTTTCCCATTGGCTAAGGAAAGTATTAGTCAATATCCCAGTAAAGGCCCTGTGATTAGAGGCCCAAAAGATTACTAAGTAACCTTATGGAAGAGAGCTGGAACTTCATTCTTGAGACCTTGAAAAATTCTGGAGTTCCTTTCTAGCCAAATAACCCAGATAGCGGCTGCCATAGAAGCCTTTCACAAGATACTTCCAGCCTTTGGCCAATGAGAGACGAGAGACAAAGAGATGAGAGCCGGGACAGCGAGTGGAGTGACCCATTTGAGGCCAAACAGCTGGATTAAAAGACTCCACAGGTCGTGGGCTAGGCTACAGTGAATGAACAGGTGTGGGTTCAATTCCTCCTCACAAAGACATAATGCGCACCTGTTGGGGACCGAGATCCCTTTCCTTTGGAGCTAGTCTATTGTGAGAGCTCTTTGGGAGCAAGCAATCCAATTGAATGCCTACACTTTAGCGGAGCGATGGTGGACCAGACCTTTGAAAGGACCGAGACAGGGTTGAGTGGGAATGTGGGTGGCTTAATAAGTTTTTTATAGAAGGAGGCCACTGAAAGTGATCCAGAAGGGGAGAGAGTCCACACGAGAGTATCCCTCCTTGAGAGAGCTATGAAGTTGGAATGAAGAGAAGCCGAGAGGGTAATGAATTGGCTTGTTTCCTCCTCTATTAAATGTTGTCCGAAAGAAGGATTCCAAACTTTGCGATCCCTAAAGGCGACCATTTCCTTTGCGATAGTGGAGGCTTTATTGGAGGTAAGAGAGTAAAGGGAGGGGAAGAGGTCCCTTAGTGGAGTGTGGCGTAGCCAAAAGTTTGACCAGAAACTTAGTCTTGTACCTTCTCTAGGATGGAGGCGGATGAATTGCTTGAACAAAGAGCGGGAAGACAAGAAAGACTTCCACGCTCCTGAGGCCCTATTCGTAGATCTCCCCTCGGGCACCCAAGCGTCTTTCGGGATTCTATATTTGTTGCGAAGGATCCATGCCCAAAGAGAGTTGTTCAGTTGTTCTGATTGGCCAATCTCCACCATTTACCTAGGAGTGCTAGGTTATGTTTTCTGAGGATCCTGATCCCCAGACCTCCTTGAAGTTTAGGAAGGCTCCCAAGAGATGAGGTGAACTTTATTTTTCTCAGCTTGTCCTGACCAAAGAAAATTTCTCATCAGTCGATCAAGACGATTGGCGATCGAGACAGGTATGTGGAATAAGAACATTAGGTAGACAAGAGAGTTTGCCAGAGTTGCTTTGACTAGCGTGATCCAGCTAACGTAAGATAGGTACCTCCCTTTCCATCCTGTCAAACGCCTGTCTACTTTGTCAATCACATGAGACCATTGTCTCTTTTTTGGTTTTCCCAAGCCCAGGGGTAGGCCAAGGTAAGTGGTGGGGAAGTCCTCCACTTTACATTCCCAATTCAAAATAAAAGCTCTGGTTTCAACGTTTGAGAGGGCAACCCCAATCATCTTCGATTTTTCCATATTGACTTTGAAGCTCGTTGCTAGCTCAAAATATTTTAGGAAGAGTTTCAGGTTTTCTATTTTTTTGGATGTAGCGACGAGGAACACTAACATGTCATCTGCATACTGCATGTGAGACACGATTGGCCCTTGAGAACTACATTTGAAACCAATGAGACGGCCTTCTTGGTACAGTCGACTGATGGAGCGACTAAAAACTTTGGCTGCGATGGAAAAGAGGAATGGGGAGAGAAGGTCCCCTTAGCGGAGCCCCCTCGAGGAAGGGAAAACACCCTTCAGCGCCCCGTTGATAAGGACAGAGAAGTGAGCCGAAAATGGAAAAAAAATATAGAATTTTTTTGTGCATTGTTTTTGCTTTTACAAAAATCTTTGTTGGTGAGTTTTTGTGCCTCTTTTTAAATTTTTGGTTTTTGAATGTTTAAGAGCTTTTAAAATACCAACTCTTAAAAGTTTTTAGAAATTTTTTAAATCCCTAAAAGCAACAACCAAAAATGCCAAAAAAGAGAAAAATAAAGACAAAAACGCATAAAAAAAGGAAAAATACATTATTGGTTTTTGTGATTTTTCTTTTGCATTTTTGGTTTTTAAGGGCACTTTCAATTTGTAAAAGTCCTTAAAATTTTTAAAATGCAAACAGAAAAAAGAAAACTAAAAGTTTCTAACTTTGTTTGTGCATTTTTTCAACTTTTGAATTGCAAAAAAAAAATGTAATGGCAAAAATGAAAAAAACAAAAACAAAAAACAAAACAAAAAAAACAAACAACCAAACTGTGTAATATAAAAGTAAAAACAAAAAGTTATTTTGAGTCTTTTTTTTTTTTTTTTTTTTTTTAAGTTTTCACTCTTAAGGGAATTTGTAATTTGTAAAAGTCTTTAAAAATAACAAAAATAAATAAATAAAAAAGGAAATGCGAGGAAAAAAAATTGTCTATTTGTTGCTTTGTGGCTTGTGCATCATTTTTCACAATTTCAGTTCTCAAGTTTAAATTGAACTCGTGAAGCGCTTCTACAATTATTGAGTGCCTTTCCCATTGCATTTTCAGTTAGTGTGTCTACTTCTAACATGTGGTTATAAATCGAACTTGTGAACTAGTGAATTGTGAAGCTGCATTAGTGTTTCAAAAAGCGCTAGGCGGGTCCTAGGCGGATAGGGGGGTCCAAACCGCCCAACGCCTAGGAAGGCGCCCAGAACCTGGGCAGCCCAGTTGAATCCAAATAAGGATTACGCAGTCCAGTTGAATCCAAATAAGAATTCTGCAGTTATTTGAGTATCAGACTATCTATTATATTCAAATTATACTACATATTAGCATTTAGCACACATTCCATAAGCATAACCATAATCCATAAGTCGGTTCATACTCCATAATCCATATCCAATTAAAACTTAAAATATGTCAACCAACCAAATTATAAAACTATGAAAGTAATACTTGAAGACTCAAAAGAATCTAGTTCAAATGTTCAATACACAATACTTCAATCAAAGTTCAAACTTCAAAGTAAATAAGTTTAATAATTATTCAACAATCAACATTCATTCATCATCATAAAATCTTGGGTCAGCTACATTGGCATCATATTCATCAGAGTCGACGGAGTCGTCACCCTCCTCGACATATTGCGACTCGTCTTCCTCCGTCTGTTGTGAACCTCTTCTTCCACCCCTTCCTCCACCCGTATTCTCTGTGCAGAAGCTCTAGTGGCCCTAGGAGGGTCAGCTAATGTCCCTGAAGCATCCCTGACCATGTCCCATATCAATCCTTCATGCCCCTGGACCTCATCATCATCAACTAACCACTCCATAGCATTGTCCATATTTTTTTATCTGATGGGATCTCTATTATCTCTCTGAGCAAATCTGTCCTTCAAGAATCAATTGCACTTGACATAGACAAGGTCCTTGAGCTTCTTTGATTCAAGCATGTTCCTTTTCTTTGTATGAACCTAACAAAATAAAATGAAAATGAACTAATAAAAATCTAATATTTATGGTTCATGTATTATTTATAAAATTATACAAATTACCCTCATGGCCTTACCCCTTCAAAAGTACTCCAATTGCGCTCACAACCGGATGAAGAAGTGGTTAGGTTTAAGATCCGAATGGCCAACTTTTGTAAATTTGGAGAACTACGCCCATGTTGGCTCCACCAATGGGCTACAAAGAAATAAAAAAATCATAAATAAATAATAAAAATACTTGATTACTTGAACAATTGAACTTGATGAAGATGATTATTAATATAATAATATTTAACACCAGGATTAATTTTGGTCCTTTGCCACATCGCCATTAGACTCCCAAAGGAGTTTAATGAGCACTTGTAATTTATCAGCTCATCAGCGCATATAATGTCCTATATTTCAAGATCAGGGACTAGCACCTCTACACACTTAATAAATCCATCCATAATTGTGTGATTTGTTTGTATATCCTTGTCAATGTAAAACAAAGCTGGGTTCAAAAACTAACCAGCCGCATGCAATGGCCGATGTAGCTGCTTATCCCACTTATCATCAATAATTTCCCAAACAGGCTTGTAGCGAGTTTCTTCATCATTGAAATTTGGGTTATCTCTCTTTTGCATTTCTCCATAGCATCTTATATATAGCCCATAGAAGGCTTGTCACTATCAACCATGCAAAGGACTTTGATAAGAGGAAAAAATACCTTAAGAGCGTCCTTCATCCCCTGCCAAAAAGCCTTAGAAAGTATAATATCTCTCACCTTCTTCCCAACCTGAGCCTTAGACCACTTGCATGCTCACCACTCATCTGAGGTAAACATTTGCCTCACCTGCACTCTCCTCGAATGTATGCTATCTAGGCATAAGTACAAAGTCGCAAATCTCGTGACCCCAGCCTCACAATCCCTTTCTTCTTTGTAAGGGTACGCATCATGCTGAAGGTGATATGGTGGCTATAAATGAAATTCGTAACATACTTGGGCCTCTTCATTGCACCTGATATCTCGGTTAAACCGCCAAGAGCCTCAAGCATGAGGTCTATACAATGTGCTGCACATGGTGTCCAAAAGATTCTAGGATAAGCTATGCGCAACAAATTCGATGCAGCAACATTAGGAGCAGCATAGTCTGTGACAACCTATACAACAAGATGCTCCCCGACTTCCTTGATTCCCTTCTCTATCACTTGAAATATGTAATGGGCATCATGGATATGATCAGAGGCATCAATAGACCTCAAAAAAACTGTCCCTACTAGACAATTTACAAGCAAGTTCATTTGACTTCTTCTCTTCCAATCACTCCAAGCATCAGTCATAAGAGAAACCCCATACTGAGCCCATGCATCTTTCTTAAGTTCTACAGCTTCCTTCGTGGCATTTTCTGCCTTTTTAAAAAAAAGCTCTAAAAGCTCATATGGGGTTGGGGTTTTCATCCCAGGGCCAAATTGGCCAATTGCCTCTACTACAGCATAAAAGCTGCTCAAGCGAACGGTATTGAAAGGAACGCCCGCCTCATAAAACCATTTAGCCAAATAATACACAGCTCTATCTCTCTCTTCCTTCTTGATTCTATTTTCAATGGTGGTTTGCTTTTTTGTTTTCTCTCCTGCAATCTCAAAGTCATGCCAAGGTAAGAAACTATCCATAAGGCCTCTAACTCGAGGCTTCTTAGTCCCAGAACTAGAAGCAATTACAACTCCCTTCCTCTTTCCCTTAATAATGGATTGCTCAACCTCTTAACATCCTTCCCCAATCCTTTCCTCATCACTATCATCATCATCAAAATTGACTCGAACCTCAGACTTAATCTCTGCTATAAAGGTAAATCTCTCATCTGTTTTCATTTTCACCAAATTCATAAAATTCTTTATTTCCTCTTTAACAGCATCAGAAGTCTTTTTACATGGAGCAACATCCCCCCTGATACCGGCAAGATGTTTCTTGAACCGGTTTATGACCCCTTTTGTATCCTTTTTCTTCTCCCATATTGTCTCACATTGAACAAAAGCAGACAATATGGGAGAAGAAAAATATTCACCTTGTATGAGCCAGGAAGACACCCAGTAATATGTCAAGTCCCATATAAAACATCCAATTATTGTCACATACAACACAAGTTGTAATTAACCATCTAGTTAATAAACAAACCACGTAACAGAATTATGTTCTTCCATGGAATAGCTTCCATTTCCAAATATCATTAAGCCATTTCATCATAAAGAGTTACAGAAACTTACTTTTATGATGTCCCCAACTTGAAGCTTCTTCCATGGAATACTTTCCCACTTCTGATCTTGCAAAACATCAATAGGGCTACTGTTTATCACCCTATCATTAAGTAATCGTTTCTGAATACAAATATAGAATAATCCGTCAGAGATCATTAACCGTTACAAGTTCTGTCTCCACAAGCCACAAAGAACAAAAGAACCAGAAATCCATGCAAATAAAGGATAATAAACTCCAAGACCAATCATAGTATTCTGTCTATAGAAAGACATATGAGAACAAAAATCACATCAAATGAATGTTCTCAATGATCTAGTTTTGTGGGAAGGTAGTCTGCCAGAGCTATCTTTTGGATAGAGTTAACTTCAAATGCTGCTATTTATAATACTACGAATAATCTATCCGAAAAACTGATTCCATGAAGGTCCAAGCATCCTATAGAATATCAATCATTACAGGGGAAGAATTTCCAAATTTACTCACCCAGTCCTCAAAAGCCTCCTTAACTAGAGAGACAAAAAGCACTAGACTCAAAGGAACTACATTTGTGATGGGATGCACTGGACTGCACATAAAAGCAATGTATTAGTACAAATGTATACAACTAATCCAAATTGACAGCCTAAGAACACAACATTCAGATCTAACAATATTACAATCCCACATGAACAGGTACGCCAAAACAAAGGCAAAATATTTTATAGCCACGACATGCCACAAGGTAGCGACATTATTAGGTAATGTTCACAAAACTTCCATAGCAAATGAAGGATATGCATGGGATGGATTACCTGATTGGAGTTGTGGATAAGATGGATATCATAAGAAAGTATAAATTTGCCACCCGCCTAAACTGTCAGATCAAGCAGAAAGTACATTTCAGGGAACAAAGGAGTTAACTAAAAGATGGGTAGTACTGCAGAAACAAGATGGGGCAATAAACATATTTATGACAGTTTCCGAAACCTTTATCCAAAATCGTCTTATGATCTTACCTGTTCAAACAAACCTTTTGGTAAGAAAGTTAAGAGGTTGTACTTTGTTGTTGAAATGGAGTTCCCCTGCAAAGTTTAACATAAAATGCAACCATTAAGACACAAGAGAAAAAGGCATACTTGAGACAATTTACTACAGATAATCATCTCCAATTTTCACAGGCAAAAAATTATTTGCATCACTGTTCAAAAACACGGACTTGCTCCGGGACAAGCCAGGCGCCAGATGTATTTTCATTTGCAGCCAAAGAAGACTATCTAACTTGTACCCCTCTTGTTTCTTCTATCTCTCCCATCCTCATTTTTTCTTTTTCTTTTTTTTTTCCATATTTTGCCTTTAAAGGAGAATAGATATATTCAAAATTTGAATAGTATCCAATATCTATGATATGAAAAATCAAAGAATGACACTAGCGAATTCATATATTGAAAGTAAAAACCCAACATTTTATAGAATTCTCATTCACACTTTTTATTAAATTTCTTATTCTTTATAACAAATGAGCAAAGGTACTCTCATAGTTGTCAATTTCTTTAACAGAAAACAGAACACTAATTCTGTCCGACATATCTCCTGTGAGACGTAATTCCAAGGAAATCCTTTACTATCTGCATGTATTTGGATGTGCCTGCTTTGTTTTGCCTCTGCATGAAAACCTTGCCATTATGCAATAGCTCACCCATTGTTACTAACTTGATATATTCAAACTCTGGTTGAGGCATGTATTGCCCTAAAGGGGATGATTTAGGAGAAAATTTGAAAGCCACAGATGAGCAGCAACTTCATGTTACATGTTATTGCTGATGACATTTGTAAAGAATACTTTGTATTGATAATAATCATGAATGTTGGCTGCTCCCATTTCACTTGACACAAATATGCAATCATTTTCGCTTTCTTTTCCTCTAGCTACTATGATGTTTCGGTATCATGCTGTCACCTGCCTGCCCATGGTTTCAGCAGCAGTTTAGAACGTCGGGCCACTCCAGAATCTCTGGATCTATGCTCTCCCCAGAGAATTTTGTCACACAAGCCTTCATCACCTCTAGGTACCCAGAAATGCACCGCAAGCCTTTCCTCATTTGAAACATGCCATTCATGTCCATGCCATCCAAACCTAGGTTGCTAAAAAATTGACATATCTTATCCACATCCATGAAGGTCAAATCATAGATTGATGTATTGAACAGCGGAACAGGAAGAATCCAGCACCATGAAGTTTTTGGGTAGGTTCGTTATTTCCACACATTAGTTACCCTCTTGAGAATAATGAGGATCAACATCTAAATTCATCTTTGCCCCCCACATGTGAAGTCAATAATCCAATGAGACACTCATTCTTCGATTCACCAAGTAAAGTATGAAGTGAACTTTTTATTTAGAACCTGAGATAAAATCCAACCATCAGTCCACCCCTGCAAGAATCTTTTAGATGAGTTAGATTAAAGCATTCTATGATTGTGACTATTTTCATTGCTCACACATTGCTTGATCAACAATTCCTTCATTCCAGAGTGCAAATATTAAAAATGGGCCAGAAAAGAAGTGTTTTAGGCTGTTGCAAGTAATCAAAGTTATGATATAGTTCCTCTACCTAATGGGGGTAAATGTATCTATAGTTAAATTGTTAAATTGTCTGACAAATTCATATAGCTAGATTGGTAGCCAATGATTATGCCCAAGAGTACATAATAGATTACATTTTTACCCAACTACAAAACATTCTATGATAGAATTATCCTCAAAAGGGGAAGCCAAGGAAGTTACGAAAAGCCTTTCACATGGAGACCTAATAAGGAAACCGACCCCAAGAGAGGCAGATATAACCACCGTTCTCAAGTATTTAGTGTAGAGAATTGGGACTTGTGTAGAGAATTGGGACTTACTCCTGTTAAGTTGGAGTAGACCAAACAGTTCCGAGTAAATGTGGAAGAGAGATGGAAATAACAAAAGTATGTTTTGCATCCAAACTGGCCTTTAGTTTATAATAAAGAAAGCATTTTATGGCCTCAAGAGAGCCCCTAGAGTTTCGTTTCTGCAATTTCAGACTTATTAGTGTTAAGAGATACCTAATATATATTTCTACACCTCTAGGTGGTAAGCATTGCTCCAAATAAACTCCGCCTAGTGCCTAGGCCTGGGTGGCCCTCTCTACGCGCCACTTACCGGGCACCCGGCGCCCAATTCTGGGCTGGCGCCTTCTTTTACGGAAACAAAAAAGCCCCTAAGAGCAGTTTAGGTCTTTTTGACACACGAAATAGAGTAAAAGGGGTGCTTGGGGGTATTTTAAACCCCCCACAAGGGCAAAAACTCAAATCTAGAGCCTAGAAACACCACAAATTGGTTATTTTGCAAATTTCTTTGAATTGAAAGGAAAAAAAATGGGAGGCTTGAAGAAGCATCAATGCTTCTTTTTTTTTGAGAATAAAAGCATCCAATGCTTACCCTTTCTTATTGGAAACTTTTTTAGGGTGCTAGTGAGGCTATTAGAAGAACTTCGGGCAAAGTTCTAGCTCGATCGACATCAAAAAAATGGAGAGCAGAGATCGAGCAAAAAGGTTAGTTTACAAATTACAATCTATATCTGAGATTCCTTTTCTGGATTTGAGATGTATTCCTCGGGGTCTACTAGGAGAGGGGATCCAGGATGGAAGTATTGTGTTAACCTAGAAAATAAAGACAAAAACAAAATAATGTGCAATTCTTGTAAACATGTTCCAAATGCCGGGATAAATAGGTTCAAGAAACCTCTTGCCGATTAGGGGGGATGTTGCCCTAGGTAAAAAAGTTCTCAAACTTGTAAGGAAAGAGATTATTGAGTACAAAGAAGTCGGGAAAAATAAAAAATTAACATAGGAGAAGGGTATAGCAGAATTGAAGGCGAGAATTAATATTTTTTATGATAATGATAATGATGAGGATGATGAAGGCGAAGAGGAGGTGGGCTAGGAAGAATATCTCAAAGTTTCAGGAGGGGTTTTGGGTCTAAGAGACCTCGTATGGAAGGGCCCATTGATGCTTTCTTTACACCTGACCCCAAGGCTGCAGTTGCGAATGGGAAAGGCAAAGCAAAGACGTTAGTGACATTAGAAAAAAGATTCAAGAAGGAAGATAGAGGTCGAGGTAATTCAATATATTACTTGGTGGTTTTATCAAACACACATTTCTTTTAATACTACTCGCTTAACTGGCTTCTATACATTGTTGGAAGCAATTAGCCAATTTGGATCAAGTATGAAAGGCCCAAACCTATAGGAGCTTTCATAGGCCCTACTAAAGAAAGAGTTAGAACACACTAAGGAGTACCCTAAGTCCCATAAGGATGGGTGGGGATCAATTCAGGATTTCCATATCATGAACATGTTGATGAATTGTCCCTTAGGTACAACATTTTTTAGATACATTGATGCTTCAGAAGAAGTTCGTGATGTACATTATGTATTCTCTTTATTGATAAGGGCATTGAGGAGGTTGGCAGGAGCATGTAATTCAAGCTGTCACATATAATTCAGCTCCTCATTTAGATGCAGCTCATTTGCTTCGCCAGAAGAGGCCTCCTATGTTTTGGACACCTTGCACTGCACATTGTATAGACCATATGCTAGAGGTCATTGGGAACATGCCTTATGTTAAAGGCACACTTTCTACGACCAAGGAGGTCACATTTTCCATGTACAGCTACACCTTTACTTAGCATAATGCACAAGTTCACAGCAAAGAAGCTAGTGAGGGCTGGGGTCACTAGATTTGCTATAACGTATTTGAGTCTTAAGAGCATATATAACAAGAGGATCCCATTGAGATTTATGTTCACTTCAGAGGATTGGATAAGGTTTGAGCGGTGTAGAGATTCTAAGGTTTTTTGGGGTGGGATAACGTACTAGCTAGCAGTATTTCCACCGTTGGTCAAGGTCTAGTGCTTGGCTGATGGTGATAAACCCTCTATGGGCTACTTGTGCTCTGATCTCCATCACAAACCCTCTATGGACTTTATATATGATGCACTAGATGGAGCTAAGACGAAGATAGCAAAGAGTTTGGGCAATGATGAGGCCAAGTATGGCCCCATAGTAGGATAGGCAGCTTCATAGACCACGGACCTAGATATTGAGAGGAAAGATACAAATATTGTTGGATTTCTTGAGTGCTTTGAGAGACTTGTTCCTAAGCCAAAAATCCAAGATAAGATATATGCTTAGGAACTCATTTTGTAAAAGTGTGTATTGAAGTTGTTCGGGAAGGATGGGAATGAGACGAAGGACCAAATCAATTCCAGGTGATAAATTTCAATTGAAAATTTTATTCAAGTTTCTAATGACTACTGTTGTATTTTAAATTAGCAAAAATTCTTTATGATAATGTTAAATTAATTATAGAGATTGCACCCAAATTGCAGCCCAGTGGTGGAGCCACCATGGGGGTAGTGCTCCAAACCTCCAGAAGATGGTAGTTCAAGTCTTGAGTTTACCAACTAGCTCTTCGGATTGTGCGCGAAATTGGAGCTCATTTGAGATGGTATGTTTAGTTGAGGTTCTTGTATATCAAATAAGATATAGACATATCGTACCGATTTAATAAGACTTCTACAATTTTACTTTAGTTCTCTTTAAGTTCAAATTTAAAAATCTGGATGGGTCAAGTAGTAGTAGGCATGCATTTTTTTTAACAAATGCATACAAAGAGAAGAAACAGGCTTGGGCAAAGGAAGCTCAACGATTTAGTATTTGTTTGAGAGAATCAGAGGCTTAGGAAGAAGCTTAATAAGCAGAAGAAGGATCCCATCACTGCCTAGGACAAGGAGAATGCTACTGAGTGGTTGGTTGGGGACCCTAGGACTGAAGAGGTCTTCCCTAAGAAGAGTTTGACAGGATATGATTAAGGAGGCTTCAGGACCAGCTTCCAATCCTAGGAGGGCTACACAAGTTTCAGTTGTTGCTAGTAATTCACATAGGGTGAGAGAGATAAAGAAGGATGAAGCAGATTCAGAAGAACTAAGGAAGAAGAGCAATACGTTGAAGAGGATGATGATTCTAATAAGGACTGGCAATAGGCCAGGTCAGCCCTG